ATATCAGATCATTCTAGCTATCAATTAACCCGAGCGCCACATCATCTTCGCGACTTTAACGCGGCAAAATCTGTCTCTACATTTTTCCGAAAATGTTATTATCCATCGTGTAATGTCTCGCACGCATTCATCCAGATTAATATTTGTATTCGAATTTGTCGCGTTAAAAAAAAAGAAATATATCAATACAAAAGAAAGTTTCGCTCGTTATTGTAATTGGAAACTTTTCTTAATTAACCACACTTCGATAATTAAATAATTTTCAATTGGGAACTTCTTCTTTGTCGGGTTGACTTCTATTCTACATCTGTGTATAGCTCGCGAATTGCATTTCTTGATCGAATTTCAGGTTGGAGAAGCAGCAGACAACGCCTCGTATCGGTTAACTAAGAAAATTTGCAAATAAATGCAAGCACGCTTACAACGAGTTATTTCGCAAACTTTGGTCTTTTGAGACAAACTTTTGGCATTGTAAACACAACGATAACAGTCGATGCTAATCATCTTCTTGAGTAAAGCCAACAGAGAGATAGATACCGTTTTAAATTACTTTTGCGTGAAAAAACAAACACAAGTGCAAGCAAAAATCATATATGATCACATTTCGAAAGTGCAATGTAACGCGAACTGGAACGCTGCCAAAATATCTATTATTTATTTGTGTTTTTTAATGATTTTATTTGTAAACACACATCTCTTTCTCTTTAATGAGATTTGGTTACATTAAAATTCCGCTGAACTTGGAACGTATATGCATGCGGCTTAATGAGGAAAATTGAATTTCTAAGATTATTAAATTGTTGACAAACAACGACGGACAATTTTACGTCTCGTTTCTGACGCGAATGATGTTTAATTTCGCCCCAATCTTCTGATTGGCGAATTGCTGGAAACCTGATTAGTTCGGAATTTAGAGAATACATACCGCGAGTCAGTTTTGACTTTGTGAGAATTTTCTGTGTATATGCAATCATTTCATTTGACTAAAATATGCATTTTCTGTTATATATATAGTCGAATCCTCGAATTAACACGTGTGTGAAGTCGATGTAAAATAATTGCACTTAAAAAACAAAAAACAAAAAAAAACGCATCAACTCGTTAATAGCAGACGAAGCGATAAGAACACAACGCGCGATTGTTTTACGGCATTGTCATTGGCTTCCAGTAATGAATCAATTTCGGTGACCGCAATATTAATAATCGTCGGACCAGAACGCAGAATCCATCATATCTAGGGAATAGGTTTCGTCCAATTACGAGATCTACTCGCTCGTGCATGAGAGAATAACGGATCTCCAAAAGCAAAATGTCAGATTACCCGTTTCGAAATAATTCAAAAGGATTCAATGTGATAAGGCGCATATTTAAATATATATATATATCCACGTAACATAATTGCGGTTAACCGTAACTCGGTTATACAAAAGGCAAATCAAAATTGTTCAAAATTCGTGTAGAAGTATTCGCTGCGCGAGGGATGAGATCGCGAGATGGGAGAGCTTTATACCAACACACAAAGCTCGGTTAAAGCATGTAGCTCTGTAACTTTACTTGGTCAAGATACCAAAGGGCGAACTCGAAGTTAGCGCACATGTACATCTTGAACAAGAAAATAAGAGGTCGGGAAGTATCGGCAGAAACGGACAAAGCGGAATACGGAAGAGGGAGGATGGAACAAGAAAGATAAAAGAGCGTGGAACAATAGATCTAGATGAAAGAGAGAGATTTCGTAGCCTGTCTCTCTTGTCATTTCTCTGTACACGCTTTAACTATAATATCCACCGCACCCACAATTAATCGCACGAATACTACGGATAGGAAAAAAAAAAAACCAATGACTATCGTTTTTTGTTTTGTTCCCGTATGTCTTTTTTTTTAGACTTCTCATATGTATCGAGAATTGAGATTTGAAAGTCGGTTGTCGATTAAAGGGATAGATTTGTACGGTTAAAATTGTCTTTACGGTCTGTTCTCCTGGCTGAATTTGCGTCTAAGAAGTGTGCATAAAAAGATTCACGCGATAATCGCACAAGTTCATCACCGCATTCTTCCACTCTCTCTTGTATATATTTTACGAGAAAACACATTAGAGAACACGGAAGAAAAAGAGAATGAGAGAGAGAGACATTACGCGAGAACATTGAATACTTCATTGACGTTCTATTAAAAAATCTCAAGATCAATTGTAATCGCAAGTTCCGAGTAACAGATTGTGACGTGAAAATAGAAGAGACTCTGTTTCGTCCTAGATAACGAAACTTAAACCAATACTTCAAAAAATCAGAACGAGTTTAGAATCCTTCTTTCGAATGCGAACGCGATGCACAGCACTCGATTCGAAAGTTGGCTTATATTTTATGAAAATTCCCATGAGATACCAAATGTTTTAAGCATCCTATTGCCGTTGAGCGAATCTTTGAACAAAAAATTGAAAAAAAAAAAAATAAATAAATAAAAAACGTCGATCGACGATATTTTTATTCTTTGCTTATTTGAAATCTTCATTTAGACGTTTTATCACCCACGGCAACAATTTCTGACAGAAAACAAGCTTGCGCATGAAGTGCTTCAATAATCGAAAGAAGAGCAGAAATACAAACCCTGACGCAACAATAAGTATGCTATCGATTAATGCTCAGATCGCAAAGAGAGATTCGGAATCAAATAAGAACCGTTCTTTATAGCTTCCTTTTATACAGTCGATATTCGATTTGGTCTCCGCTCTTTTACGAATCGACGACAGCAAGACTCAACTTGGAACAGGACAAGCCAATATAGGACACAGTCTAACGACTCGCTTTTCATGATCAATCTCGTCTGTATCAACGCTACTCGAGTTTCTTTTTTTTTTTTCCCTTTTATGAAGCACTTGCATTTCCACTAACATTGTTGATTTGAATTGCTGCTGCTGCTGGTTATAAAATAAATTATTCATATCGCTTATACATTGGCCTCGATTCCTCGCCAATAACGTAAACGTACACAAAGAAAACTTTACCGATTTAAATCCCGTTCTTAGGAGGAAGGAGCTCTTATTATTGCATCGCTATGTTTCCGTCTTATGTTCGGCTTTTACTAATTAACAAAAAGAAATTGCGCACCGCGTCTGTGTACACACAAACAGTCTGCAGAATATATCGCTATATACCTTCGGCATTTATTTTCTCCATTTTTGCCAAAGAGATGGCACTTTGATCTATTAGTCTTTTTTTTTTTTTTGCGCGCGCGCGCGAATCAGTTTCAAAAGAGCGCTTTCAAAGAACTTGAGATTACACCCATAATTGGCCTAGATTGCTAACCATTCGACTTTCCGAGCTATTAAAGGCCGTTCTTTACATATTCATTATAGGCTATATATTGATTTATACATATTTATATATTAATATCTGCGCGCGCTTAAACGCACACACAGAATTAAACAATATTGATCTCTAAAAAAAAAAAAAAAAAAACACATAAATATGTATATTAACTTTTAGAAGACCGACGGATATAAACGAAACTTTTCTTTAGCGTTATATAGAGCTAACGATGTGTATGTGGAAAGTTTTATTTTACACGTATATATAACGTGTCCGAAAACTTGCACATTTGATTTTAAACAAAGCAAATAAACTATACTAAACGCATATAGAAAACGTGGTTTTTAGTTATAAGTAAAATCGTTTTGTTTGCAATATAGAATGAAAGCTTCAAAAAAAAAAAAACGTTTTACTTGCAGTAGTGGTACAAATAACAATTCGTTTGATCAAAATAAAAACAAAATTGCTTTTATCTACAGCAAAATTCTTTTTTTTTTTTTTTTATATGGAACTGTTATTGTCTGTGTGTATTTCGAGCAAAACTTTATAATTTATTTACAATAAAAAAAAATTGTTTCTTCACGTTAGTAGTTGTACTTTTAACGACGTGCAAAGAATGACGAAACAGATATTTTTCTTCTGAAGTTACAAATATAAATTTCCAAATAGGTACATATCATTGAAAACCTTCTGTTGTTTCCTGTTCATTGTACGTTGTTTCGGATGGTGTTGTTCTCTTTAACTTCGTTTCTTTTTTTTATTCTTTATTATTAAGTTAATTCGATAAAACGTTCACTTTTACGCCTTAAGCGAACGACCAGTTTAACTGACTGTCCTTCAAGTCCGGAGGAAAGTTGAATTACCAGAGAGAACGAGTTGGAAAACACGGTAATCGAGTTTTCGTTGGATGTCAGTTAGATTCATTCGCGAGTAATGTAGGGTGAGCATACGAAACAATTAGCGGGGCACACAATGCATCTGACCGAATTGTTAAGAGCACGCGAGATATGCTATTAGCGTAAGATGTAAATCATTCACTCACAAGTGTGATAAATAATGTTTTGATTAAACAGAAAGAGAGAATGGAAGAGAGTCAAATATTAAAATATATTAATGTATGATCTTTAATAATATATATATCTATCATTCTCAAAAGTTTTTCATTTTTACATACAGATAATTCCAATTAAAAAACGTTTTTATTGGAATATTAACATACATCATTCAATCTTATTAACAATCGAAGTTTTTGTTTAGAACACTATATTTTCTTATTTCTCTATATTAAAGACAAACCAATGAAGTTATTATCTTTTATTCTTTGTATTTTTTTCACATGTAAAACATGTAGTAACTACGTAATAAATATACGTATGTATTCTTTTCATTTCTGTAAAAAAAAAAAAAAAAACTCATATTAATCTCCATTCTAACAAAGTAATCTTAAAAACAGTCATTTTTTACAAAGTCTTACTATATACAAATATCGTCTTACTATAATACAAATCTTAAATAAAATAGCGTGCTATTTCTAAACGCGACGAATAGAACATAATTGTTTTTTGGACTGTTCGCAATTCATACGTCCCGCCACGTAGGGTACAAGGTTGGCTGTATGATCGGCGCGCGCAGCACGAAGTGAGTACATATGTTGTATACTTATGCGCGGCGCCACTTGTACGGACAACGTCGAAGCGGACGCGACGGCGCGCATGCAGCGCCGCGTATCGTCGGAAACGAGTGGGGCTGGCCGAGGTAGAAAGAACGAGGAGCGCATTCCGAGGTGGTGCAGTTTCGCAGTGTCGCGTAGAGTGTAGTGTTTTTCTTCCTCTCTTCATCCCTCCTCGTTTCCGCGCGTAAGAGTGCAGTGTGCATCGATGAGGCCGCCTGTAGTACCATCCCCCGATGACCGAGTAGTGCATTAGGTAAATTCGCATTTGCATACGAATAATATACTTGTACACACGTACACGACCGCGCCCCGCGCGCGCTGATCGTAAAGCAACTCTTGAACGAACATAACCACTACGCACTTATTGCGGTCTGCGATACGCGGGGACGCTCTTCGACGAGCCGAAGTCCGTTCCGTGCGCCATCATACCAGACACGCCGGCGTGGCCTCGACGTTGCTCGATGTTGGACGCGCGCGCGCGTGAATCGGATATATCTGTATTTTTGTCTAATTAATTTGGAAGCTGCAACGACTGTGATTATGTGCAAAAGAAAAAGACACGAATATAACGGAGAGGAAAGACAACTGTTCTTTCTCTCTCTCGCTCTCTCTCTCATGTGAACTGCTGCAGCGCTCTCTGTTTCTCTTCCTTTTTTTTCTTTCTTTTTCGTTCGCTGGGTCATTCTCGTATGGCGTCGGATTAAAGCGACAACGGCAACGCTGTACCGGCACGCGCCATGCGAGCGACTGAATAATGATATATCCACCCCTCTCGCCTCGCGCTAATCCGTTAGACTTTGTATTCGGTTGATTATCGAACGCTAAGGTAGTTCCTGTAGGTAATTTGTGCACCGTTTGTGCAATTGATAGGAGGTGGTACCGACTTGCGTCTTGGGAGCGTTCGAAACGCTTGTGGTCGGTCGAAACGAGTCGATACGAGCCGGCGGGAACGACAGAGACGCGCGCTGCCATCGAACGATCGGTTCCCGTTAAAGTTTAGGTGCACTTGGGTTGCACTAACTGTCCGGGTTTTGAATATGCCGTGTCGGTAGTGTTAACACGATATTGTTTTCTCTGTTCGCACGATCTTACTCGGATAAGGAAAATGGAATGGCCTGGCTTTAACTGGGTTTTCAACGTCGCCCCAACTGACATCTGTTCCTTGTCCGTCCGGTTGTTGCATTAACAAATTTCAAATAACTTTTTAGTTCATATATAGCGATTATTGTTTTGAACGCTTGTCTGTGGTATATATAGTGGATAAATTATTAAAGCGAACAACAATGTAACGCGTGTCGATGTAATTAGTACTTGAGCGCTCAATCGGGTTCAATTCAATCATGTCTGTCTCTATTTTCGTTCCTTTGATTTTTCCTTTCGCAAAAACCACACGTGGGGAAATTCTCAAAAGCGCATCGTCATGAGAAATCGAATTAATTTTCTCTCTCTAATAAGCGCGGAATTCCGCGCTTATTAGAGAGGGAAAATGAAAAATGCGGAATTTAGCGAGCGACATTGATGTAACCTGGTCACCGATAGAAACCGGTTATTTGATGAATTATTATCAAGAAGAGAAAGAGAGAGAATATGAGAGAGAAGACAGACATCAGAAATTAACTCTGCTTCAAGTTTTTTGCTGCAACTGTACTCTGCTGCTTTTAGTCCGACGATTCGCATGCATCCGAGTGTCTTTTTCCACGCGTTCAATACGCACTGCGTATTTCCTCTTACAGCGTATTGCGAACAATACGCGTTTTCTTGCTCACATTCTCCCTCGTATTTCAGAAGAAACTCGTCGAGACACTGGTTTTCAGTGTGACGAATTGTTTTTCACGTGACGTATAAATTTATATTTAGAATCCAAACGTTTGCAACAAAAAAAGTCGAGTTAGGAACGGAAGTCGTAAAATACGTTGATATATTTCGCGTTAAGTGTTTTTTTATATTATGGTAATACAACTTTGAGAGAGAGAGAGAGAGAGAAGTCTAAGTGAAGAGATATCTTCTCGGAGGGGAGTCCGACTCTGTACATAGACACTTGTCACGAAAGGAAACTGAACTCTGAACGGTGATAAGCGATGAGAGTATCTATCGAAGTGTTTGTACTTGCGATTATGCGACCATGACAAAATGGGTTCTTTCACGAGTTAAAATAAGAAAGTGTTTGTAACATACGGAAGGATTTTGTATTTAAAAATAGTTTATTAAATTTTCGCGCTATCTCATGCAAATAACTGTAAAGTTGAATTGTGTCATTTGTATTCATTGGTTTCGATCGAAGGTTCACCGAATTACTGGATGTTGATTCACTTTTATTTTATTTTATTAAAAAATCGGATCAGATTACAAATTTCGAGGTTTTCGCATTCGCGGACAATTATGCGCGATAAACTAGTGAACTATGTACAGAGCTCTTCACGATTATATAATCAATTAAACAACTGGCGCTATTATGCAAATTAAAGGCGTCGCTTGCTTTTTTTTTTTTTTTTTTGTTGTTTTTTTTACCATTTTATTTCAACGCAGAAATATCCGAGTGATTAGTATTTCGCGATAGAAATTAGAATCGAAACAGGAAAATCAAACGTTGAAATTTGAACTTCTGAGAATCGAGTAACACAATACGCGTGTCTTTGACAATTGAATGTAGAGATTAACGTATCAAAGAAAAGTGTCATATTGGTTGCACAGTTTTGTTTCTTTCCAACAACTAGTTGACGAGAAAACTAGATCGCGAGCCTTCATAAAGATTCGTTTATCATCTGAAATTACATCGGCGATATCTTGCGCATCCAGAAGTTCATCGATCGATTTCTCGCAACTCATTCCGCAAGTTTTTTTTAGCTATCGACTTTAATTCTATATGGTATATAAAATAAAACAAATTATATAAATTGATCTCTCTGTGCGCGATTCTCTATTCTCGAATTATTCGAAAAATTAAATATTCCATTCTAGAACTATTTTGCAATTGCGCGTGCAACGACTTCGTGCTTTGGACCGAGACCTATGAAGAGGATATTAATACGCAATTAAGAGAAGAGAACTGTCAGTGAGATAACAATAACTACCAGTTTGCGCGACAGATCTCTGAGTAAAACGCTTCGTAAAAAAAAATTCCATTTGTATTAAACGCACACGTGTGAATAAGTAATTCTGGAACACAGATTACGCTAAATTCCGCAGTCCAATTGCGAATTTCCGTAGAGCGGAACGATGGCGCGATATCGTCTGGAGCGATCGTTTAAGGAGAACAACAATATGCTCCGTTTCCTAAATGCGTTCGCGCTCATGCACGCACACACACTTACAACGTTTCCTGTCACTTTCTTTCGCCTGACAAACTCAATTTTTCTTAAACTCAATTGAGTTCTTTTTGCGTTATCTATAGTTCCGAGTTGTAAACATCGTTATACAGTCGCTATGAACAAAAGAAATACAGACGTAACGCGACAGCGTGTGTGTGTGTGCGTGTGTACGTGAAGAAGATAAAATTGCGAGATGGAACTTCTTGCGCGACAGCTGTGCAACAAACAGCTTTTCAAAATATACACGGAAAGCATAATGAGCATAAGTAGGACGAAAAGTAAATTTGTACATTTCTGCGCTCGCGCGAATGCAAAAGTAACGCGGCTACAAGTTTGCGCTGCGACTTTGAAAGTTGATGCACGGAACTAGGAGTGACCAAGTAACTTTTGCACAAAGCTGTCCGTGAAATGCGATAAACGTACGCAGCTTAGAATACACACGTCGTAACGCTCCGCGACGTTAAATCGTTTAGTTTTGTTTTTGCTTTGTACTGCCACGTTACATACTTCCATAATTCGTTTTCTATGAGATAGTCTACAAATAATAAATGGTCTACTAACTTTGATAGACGTGTGTCCACCGATCTTTTCACTGAAAATAAAATCAATAGATCCATAAAATTCCTTTAACTTTTGACATATATCTCGATGTAGATTGCGGAGTATTAAAAAAACACGTGGAAATATATTTTGTTTGAAATAGACATATCGCACACTTTTGATCGGTTTAAAACTCCAAAAATTGTATAAGGTAATTTCGTGATTTGAAGCGCGGATGTGCTAGAAACTTTGTTTCTGCGTTTGTTTTGTTGCAAACGTGTAACTTTTCCTATTAATTTTGTATTGCGAACGAAAAATTGCGACGCTGATAATTTTCATATGACGTACAAAGTTCCGATTCTTGTACACATACACGTATGTATGTCTGTGTGTGTGTGTGTACCAGAACCGCGCTCTGCAGTTCGTAACGGACCGACCGTACAAACCTGTCTCGTAGGAGCCCCTCTCATTGAAGAAAGGAGAGATATAGAGAGGTGCGGTTGCGAGCCTCCTTCCTTCACGGAGGGAACAGGAATATATCTCGGGAGAACTTCTCGCCAAGCTTTGCAGCGGCCTATCGATCGGCTCGACAGTAGCTGTAATTAAACGTTAGACGATAGAAAAATAATATCGCGCCGCGAGTGTGCCGCTTGATCGCCTCTTGCGAATATTCTCGTTTTTTTATTAACCGTGTCTCTCGCTTTTCAAACGATTATGCGATGTGAAGAGAATTGGCTTGAAAGATTCGTATGCGTTCTCGCGCGTGTCTGCATTTTCTTTTTTTCAAAACTTGACGATTTGAAATAAAATACACACACATTGCATATGTTTTGGAAATGTTTTTTTTTCTTTTCTATATTTGTCAAACACGCGAGAAATTGAAAAAAACTGCTGCACATTCCGTTTTTTTTTATTTTTTTTTTATTTTTTCAAAGAATCGCGCGAATGCTTTATTCTTCTTTTCTACCGAGTGAAAGTGTCTCAGCGCTCAAAGTGAGATTCACTATGAACCGGGAAATTGATGTTTATTTCTCTCGTATTCGCAAGAATTATGTGAATGACGTTATATTTTCTATACATTCCGCAATAAGAACGAGAAAATATTATAGTCGTGTACTTTATCTTCATATTTCGCTGAATAATCTCATTTATCAACTGTAAAGCGAAATATTTGCAATAAGCAAAATGAGCTCAAGACTACACGGTAAATTCAGCAGCTAAGCATCCGCTTAAGTAAGATTTAAAGAAAAACGCGACATTTAATGCGTAAAGCAATTCGATTTTTATTCGAGGAGAATCATCAACGTTTGCGAAATTTCGATCTATCAATAGTTTTAGAATTCTCGTCGCACTTTATTTTTTAATGTTGAAATTCGATTCTAAAAAAATGTTCAACTTCTTTCACTAATGAGCAATTTGTCAAAACTTTCATGTTACAACATAAACAAATTATAAATACGCACTCTTAATTAATAAATTTACTTTTAAACATTTATTGTTAAAATATAAACAAGAATGGCATTGTTTTTAATTAGAGTGTAAATTGATCTTGTCTATTTTTACATGTTTTTTTTACATATTCATATGTGTTTCTATTCTACTGTATTTTCATGAACCAATTACTTTTTTTGATTTTAGTACACGACCTGAGCATACCTGGGAACGCTTGAGAAGCACGTCCCCCGATACTCCCCCGATCAAAATCACTCGCCTAACCTTTCCCCTATCCTCCTCGCCCTCCTCCGCACCCCTCCCTTCCGCGAACGTCAAGAAGATCTCTCATCAAAACCACAGGACCCGTAACTACGCGATGGACGGCATGGACAACAAGCCGGTGTTGAATGATGATCCCTCGGTCACCCTGACCATCCGCTTGATCATGCAGGGCAAAGTAAGCCACACGTTCATAACAGCGCAGTAATAATTTCGTCGAGCTTTAACCGATTGCTCGTGTGTACGCTTGTTAGTTTTAATTTTATTCGTTTAACATGTATTGCATTTACGCAATTATTTCACAGTTAAATAACTACAATGCAATAAACAGAATGTGGTTTTGGATTAGCATTAACAAGATGATTACTTGTTATGATTCGCTATGTAATTAGAGAAATAGGACAGATTAAACACGTATACACGTATGTGCGTTGTGTATATGTTTGTTTGCAGGCACGTATGTAGAGATCTTGTTGTATAAACAGTCTTCTGCACGGAGTATCAGCTGTTATTGGTTTCTCAAAACGAGCATTAGCTCGTATTTCAGACACGTGTATTTAATGTTTTGAACATACTCAAAATTTTTGTTATTTATTTAACGTGCGTGAAAAACACATTGCACTGCTTAAAAAATATCTTACTTAGAACTTATTTAACATTAGATAAAGAACATCATTACCGGTTATCGTTTTTGGCTATATGACAATGTTAGAATTCTGAGAAAAGCTCATAATTATTTGGCTGACATTTACGACGACAATAAATCTCAAACGCAACGTTCGTGGATCATCTTCGTTACTTTGTAATGCTTCTTTTCTTTTTGTGAATTATTTACGTACGTACGTTTTCGACACATTGTGTGCTAGTCACAGTGTTCTGACGTGTGTGTGATATATACGTCTTCCGTTGAAATGAGAAAGCCAGGCCTATTTTATACCAGAGACATTCCTTGCGCGCACTCTTCAAATAATGAGAGTAAAAACTATTTAACGTGATTTTATCAAATTATTTATACCGACCGTGAGTCAATATATTTGAGATCACAGAGATGAAACTTAAATTGATATAAAAAAAAAAAAAACAAAGAAAACGAAAAATTGCAACATTGTATTGTCACAGTTGCACATTCTATGTTACATTAGAGAGTTCTTTTTAAAACAATTTTTTACATGTGTGATAGATTACGTCTTAGTAATTTAATAACAATGTCGTCACTTGTGTTAGTGAGATGTCACTATCAAAGCGACTTGCACAGTCACTCTCATCATTTATAAACCACGTATATACAAGTTGTGCGTTTTTCTCGCTGATCTCATATGAATTGTTTATTAATTTTTCGATTGAAGAACTTTGCACGCGCGTAATCGCAAAACATCTTTGACCGCGCATCTTTGACTAACAACGTATGTTCTGAAACGTACGAATGTTTGGTATTCTGCCAAGAATGCGAAATTATTGTTTTTGCGTAAATTACACACAATTTTTTTTTTTTCTTGTAAATTATCGATGAGATATCTGTCTATGAAGAAATCATATAAAATTCTTTGATTATCGATAAGAATATTTGAGAAAATGAAAAATCCATTTATATAAAATTTTAATTGAGGGTTTAAAGAAGGAGAAAAGATAATTATATCGGAAAAGAGTCTCGTGTGAAAGAGGAGAACGAGGTAAAATATCCTTTAGCGCGATTAGACAATCGGTTTAATTTCATGCTGACAAGAAAAAGAGCTATTGGTGATCATTGGCAATAATAATCCGCTAACATTGTTGCTGCGATTATCTGTGACATTTGAGATATCAAAAATTTAATCTTAGCGATTAGCAGCTGTTCCAAGCTTGCTAATCTTCGATTTGTAAAAAGTAATTATCTCTCATTGGTTTAGTATCACAATACGGAGAATCGCAAACGAATAAAACGTAAGGTAGAAAATAGAGATTGGATTTCTCGGTTTTCTCGTTCCGTGAATTCATTGTGCGTAGCACAGTACAACTCATTGTATGTAGTTAGGTATATAGAAACAGAGAGAGAGAGAGAGAGAGTAAAAGCAGCGCACGCATCATAATTCGATGCATTTATACGCGTATTAAGAATTACGTCACGCGCAAGATCATCGCTTGGTGCAAATTTTCAGAAAGGATTAATCCCCGGAAAACTGCAGGTTTTCCAAACGAGATGATACGAGCGTCAAAATATATATATGTATACAGCGCGTAGTAGGTGATACTCGAACTCTATTCTTGTTTCTAAGAACACACATCGCTCGCCACCGGTTTTACTTGTAATTAATTATCATTGCGCGAGGTTCAATATCGCTTCCGTCATAACACGAGTAATTTAATGTCCGTCGTCTCGCGATAATTAATTGCACTAGCTGCGCGCCTATGTTTCTTTCGATGTACTTTTCGCAATTGCGAAGCACCGCCAAGTTTTACAATTTGGTTGCTAATATCTCGCAGCGGTAGTTGATATCCATGCGGTTGCGATTGTGAGCGCACAGACATCGGAAATGGATAAAGATTTGAGAGAATTTTCAAAAGAGAGAGAGACAGGTTTTATTGGATATCAGAACGCGATGCTGCAATCGAAACGCGAATCCTTCACAACGGATCACAGCTCGATCTAAGCGCGTAGGATAAAGCGTGTTGCATGTAAAAGTTAATACGTGTGTTTTTTTTACGTGTGAGTTTGATGTTCGCACAATAAGCCGCGAAATAACGAGCTATCCCTTTTTGCCGCGACTCTCTCTCTCTCTTCTATCGTCGGGTAACACTTTCTTCGAGCGCGGGTTTCCCAGGCGATGTTATTAACTCTTGTTTAGAACCAACTCTCTTGCTCAATAAAAATTTAAATGATCTCTCCGGCGCAAAAAAATATCTTCACGATACTTTTTATTTATTTGTTTCTTGATCGCGACTATGTCTCCGAGGCTTATCTCTAAAGCTTCATTCCGCGATATTATTTTATTAAATAGATCAGATTAAAGATATATCTGTATATATGTATATATAAGTAACTTGTTACTCCGGATAAAAATGCGATAACACTTGGAGCAAATATTATACGAATATTATACACAACGTATCTTTCCGAGCAGAAAAGCGGATTGCAATGTATGTGATTCTGGTTTGTCTCCAAACGTTCTCATTGATGGCGGATATATAGTTCGAAATTATGGCATAAACGTCACGGATTTCACGGTCGTTTCTTAATTATACGTCTGTTCACCACCCGGCTTGCCAATACCGTGATGGCGGTGTTGCAAAATCTTTTTTTGGAAGCTTTGCAAGAAGCAGATAAACGGATAGAACGGGCGCGCAGCCTCTTTCGCGCGAAATAAATACGTCTGGCCGCATTTTTGGTGGCGGAGAAGCATTATGTCTGCTACACACACACACTAGCAGAGTATGCGCCGCGATCTTTTGGGACAGACTGGACATCGGCCAGGGCCAAAAGCCAATCTGCCGGTGCATCTCGCGGAATTATCATCGTGATTTCATTATCTGAAGGCGCATTATCCCTAGTCGTAACATCTTCCTCATAATGCGAATTTATTCCGTGAGTTAATTTGTTCAAAAATACGCGCTAAACCTAAATCTGCTATGATCACGAAGAAGAATGTATTTTTAATTACAACATTGCGAAGATATTTAGAAGAGAACTCAAGAATCGTTTTCTTTCGAAGCAATGTTCTTTTTTTTTTTTTTTTTTTTTTTTTTCTCAAAGACTGTGACCTGGAAATTATCGTGTGTCAATTCCATTTCAGTTAGTTTTCACATTTTTTGTCTTTAACATTGTTGTATTGTTCAACGGTATCACGGCTGTCATTCGTCTCTATCATTTTGTGATAGCGCTATGACGCAAATATTTGGCCCAAGTTCAAACTTCGGCTTATCTCACTCCAGCCGACTTATATATATATATATAGAACTGTTATCCCGATATTTTTTTATCTTGGCTACATCGCGTATCGACTTTTCCTCAGCACCGGTTAAATCCGAACGTTATGAGAAACGACAATAAATTAATTTTGTTTAATCGGGATACTATCTAGCTTTCTTTGTATGTCGCTCTGTCGTTACCTTCTCGAATTTTTCGACAAATCTCCGGACTCCGGGATTTGAACTGGAGCCAGAGTCACCGGACCAGCCAGTTGGTCACGATTTATCCGCGAGGATCTCAGAAATTTGTTTCTGTTCGCACAAATCGCGAGACATTTAGAAAACTCCAAGTTTTTTTACACCATTTTTTATATCTTCTTTCCAAAAGTAAAAACTCGCACACAACAGCTGTTGTATTGCAGTTACACGTGTAGTAATGCAATATTGTTTGCATCTCGCGCCACGTGCCCTCGCTTTGTATCTTTGTGTGACATGTTTCGTTGGCTTTGTTCTCAAATTGAAATTAACGTTTGAAATATCACTTGTGATAAATGCGCATCTACGGCCGGTACGCTATTATTTCAAATGTTTTCTGCATAGCTTTGTCTTTTGCACCGACAACGCCGAGGTATTTACAGAAGTAGGACAATATCGGAAAACTTTTAATCCTGTTTCATAAAAGTAGGCTGTGTGCACTCAAACTATTGACCGGTAACGTCGAGCTATACATAGGCACTTAAAAGCGTCATCTCCGTGAAGGAACCGCCATGATGTTCCTCTGTGTGTGTGATATCTCTCTCCCTTTCTCCTCCTCCTCTCTCTCTCTCTCTCTCTCTCTCTCTCTCTCTCTCTCTCTCTCTCTTTCTCTTCGTTGTCGGGTTGATAACACGGCTCGAAGCGATTTGTTCTCGAAGATTTGCAATTTCGCGAATTTTGTCGATCGTAGCTGACCCTCGTGGCTGGCACGTCGCCAAGTCTTCTCTCATCGTTTCACTGTCTTCTTCTTGTTCCGACTATATTTGCTACTAGCATACATCTAATTTGTTGACGATGATGCTCGATCTGATCGTGCGTTATCTCGTGCGCCTCAATGAGAAATCGTGACGACCGGTGTCGTCGTCGTCACCGACTTCGCTCGCAGAACGGAAGCATATAAACCTAATTAAGGTTGGCACTTGTCGTGATGTACTTAATGTAATTTTTGCGTCGAAACGTATTTCGAACGTTGTTCGACTTGGACGGAAAAATTTGTAAGACGAATTTTGACAAAACTCTGAAAAGCTGAGGACCGATAAATTTACGAGCAACTTATTCATTCCGAACAGCATTTTTTTCACGTGAAATCATCTAAGTTTAGATAAAAAAAAAAAAAAATAAAGGAATTCTTGCATAGAAGCTTAACGATAACGTTATCTTGAAGTAGATAACATTATGGAAGACGTGATGTCTAAATGAAAAAGCTATTTACACGAGCTATTTACAAATTTGACGTTAATTTTGAATTCCAATTTTAAGTTCCGATTTATTTTGCATTGTAATATATTCTTCTACACGCGACCGATATTAATTGATATATTAAATATAATATTAACATATTTTAGCGGAATTGTCGTCGTTAAATCTGCTAACGCAAATATAATAGAAATTGTTTATTATTTATTGATAGCCAATATGTATACATATGTAATCGTCTTCATCGTAACATATTTATTTTATTGCAGGAAGTTGGTAGCATTATTGGGAAAAAAGGAGAGATTGTCAAGAGATTCCGTGAAGAGGTAAGTGTTAATTATTGCGACCTGTGAGTGTCTTGTAACGAAAAATAAAGAGTCACGTAATGATCGCGTTGTGTCACGAAACGGTGAATTTTGCAAAATGGTAAATTTATGTTTTTGTTCGGATTGATCCATTCTATCGTTACATTTTGGCTGTCTTAAAATTTTTTTAACACCTTGTACGCGCGCGCGCACACACATATATAATCAGTGACTTTTCTGTTCGCACGATGCAGTCCGGTGCAAAAATCAATATTTCCGATGGTTCCTGCCCGGAGCGGATAGTGACTGTTACGGGACCGACAAACTCGATCTTCAAGGCGTTTACGCTAATATGCAAGAAATTCGAAGAATGGTGCTCTCAGTTCCACGACATCCAGGGCAGCGGTGCCGGAGGTGGTGGCGGTGTGTCGAGGCCACCTATCACACTTAGACTGATTGTACCCGCTTCGCAATGCGGTTCCTTGATCGGCAAGGGTGGTTCTAAAATCAAGGAGATTCGCGAGGTTACCGGTGCTTCAATCCAGGTCGCTTCCGAAATGTTGCCTAACTCAACGGAACGTGCAGTAACCATATCCGGTACCAGCGAGGCGATCACGCAATGCATATATCATATCTGCTGCGTTATGCTAGAGGTACGTATCCATGGCGTTAGAAATTGACCGTTCTAGAATCGTTATAGTTTATATTTTGGAGCTTTTAAAAAAATTGCATTTGTTGGTCGAAAATAACTTCAATTTTCAAAGAGAATTGTACAATATGGTATTTTATTTAAAAATATATCTAAAACTACATATATAACATTTATTGATTAACTCCTTTTCCATATAATAACAAGTCAAACTCGTGATGGCGATTACAGGTCAAAAAAAAAAAGAAAATAAAAATGGAAAAAAACCATTTTAGTCCGTTTCGCGAAAAACCTTCACCCTCCACCATGGGTTCATCCGCGTTTTGCCAAATGCATATGGAAAAAAGTTAATTGAGTAGCTATTGAAATGTTCCAATAAAAGTAAAACTCGGATACGATAATGTATAATTGATAAAATAATTGCTCAGACATTCACGTATAAAAATAATTTTTCTCTATTTTATAAAAATATAATATTATTGAACTATATAATGAGCTAGATGACACGGAGACGTTGTATTAAAACTGCAATGACTTCGACCAGTGTATTCGTATTTGTGCATGTGTTTCTTTTTGTTTCAGTCCCCTCCCAAAGGTGCCACGATCCCTTATCGCCCCAAACCCCAAGTCGGTGGGCCAGTGATCCTGGCTGGTGGGCAAGCCTACACCATCCAGGGTAATTACGCGGTGCCCGCCCACTCGGACGTAAGTACAGTATTACCATTGCCCGCGCCCGCTGCCGGGCCCACCCCGCCCTCGCTGAATACCCAAACTTTGACGACCTCGCCCTTCGCGGCCCACCCTTCGTCCTCGGCCTTCGCCGCTTCTCACGGGCACCCGCTCCTATCCACGGCCCATCTTACAACCCCACATCATCCTCTCCACCCGAGCCCCTTACACGCCAGCGTGGCAGGCCTCGCCGACCCCCTGCTGAAGAGTGGACACTTGCAGGCAGCCCTCCCGCCCGCACACCTCGTGGCAGACGCCGTAAGTCTTTTGTTTTTCGTGATCCACCCTTTCCCGTACCCTTTTCTCGACTTGCCTCTGATTTACCCATTTATCTCCCTCCATCGTTCTCTTTCCTCTCCCTAGATAATATATACGAATGGTTTTTCGTTTCACTTGTCTGAAAATCGATACACCTCTGTTCGATGTCTCCGTCACTATATACACGTTCCTTGATGTACCTGGCAAAATTTCAGTTCGGCAAAACTTGGCAGATGGTTCGAAATTGGAATGATTGCGAGAAAACAACCGATTTCGTGTGTTGTTAAGAAACTAGTATTATTGCGAAGAAATTGTGGTATATTTGTCATTTACTTGTATTTATTTCAATATTTACATTCAGTATGTTTTTCTTTATTTTTTTTTTTCATGTAATAATCGAGTAAGAGAAATCCACGCAGTAAGGCAGTGCCCATTTGCAATAATAATAGGATCGTTTCGCGGTTAAGTCGGGTTTGGTTGGCGATTTTGAGATAGAAAGTTCTATAGATTAACGAATAATCAAGTGTAATCACTCGTTCGTTGCAACAGCGGTTACAAACAGCAGTTTGAGTTACAAGTAAGTTATATAAAAAGTTCGTGCCGCGGCTTTGTTAATATTTATTCAATTTACGCGTTTGACTTTGGTTGTTTTTCTCTTTAACCGTCATGCGAATAAATAATTTATTAGTGTTAACTTATTGAACCGAATAAGGTGTAGATTATTTTGAGTTATAATAGAAAATTACTATAGAAATATACATAGTTGCAAAATAAAAAAACAAGAAAATAACGTTTATTTCGAAATATAATTTTAACTCCCTGTGTAATTTGTTTTTACCACATTCGCTGCCCATTTGAGAGGAACACACCACTCACCTGGAAGCCAATATACCTTCACAATAACCGCGTGATGGACCAACTGTACGGTTTCACATTCAGAGTCCGACTGGCTAGCTCACTGAACATAGATTCATCGCGCGTTGGTACGTGAACGGCTACTTGCGAAAGAGTCTCATCTCGCTCTGGCGTGTGATGGGCAGCGAACGTGTTAATTGAACATTACATATCAAAGTATAATTTCGATTGATTAGTATTACAGAAGAAAACATGATTGTTCGCGCACTAAGATTGAAACGAGGCAAAATCATTTTATTTTATAACCTCTGGCTAAACAAGATTCTCGAGTTCCGAGCGTTGGAGTAGAGCGATAGAGATGAACTCGGTGACAAAATAGATTGCAGACAGAATCACAGACAATCAAGCGATCACCACTATACGTGGCGCACATATCGGCATCGTTCTAATTTCCACCAAATGCCGTGACAACTGAAAATATATTTATCGATATGTCTCACTATTGTCTAGGCCACCCTTCCTTCCTCCTCTTGAAGCTCTTTGCTCTTGTCCTCTGTATCTTCTTCCCGCATATATACACCTTGGCATAATATCTTGGCTTTTTGCTCGATGTCCCCGTGCGGTTTTTTTATCCAGGAAACATTTTTCACGCTGCATCTCATCTCGCGAGTTATTTTTAACTCGCGATCAAATGCGCGCGAAAGTCTCTCTCCTATTGTATGTGCTTAAATCTAACCATACATATCGTTTTGTTTTCTTATTGCATGACTTTGATTAAACAAATCTAATGTGATCTGATAAACTTGTAGAATATCACTTCGAAGAGTAAGAAATCACTATTTGATCGTGATTTTTTTTTTTTTTTTGAAACTTTATTAAAAGTACAAAAATTATTCAAAATTTGATTTTTCAGTTATTTAAGAAAAAGATGTTCTTATAGATTAAACTCTTGCAATTGTAACTCAGCGCGAGCTGAATTCTAATTTACAAAAAAAAAGAAACTTTCCTAAAGTTACAGTTAAGTTCAAGTTCGAATTTTAAAGTCTTTGGCAAAGTCATGCGAAACTCATTAGCTTTGCTTTTTGTGCGATTCGCACATGTTCGTGCACGCTTTTCTTTCTGGATTATTTTTCTAAATTCTAAACGTTCACCGCGCGATGCTTCTACAAATTTTGACCTGAGCCTGTATACACGTCGTGTCTTCCTTCGTACGCTTGCGACTGGTAGTGGGTTGATTACTTTAAGAATTGCTTGATCCTTCACAGTGCATAGAAAAATTCGATTATGCATGTTATCTAAAAAAAAGAGTGCGATTGTACGACATGATGCAAGTTTTGATACCAAGTTGCAGCGATACCAGATAAAAAATGGATCTTCAAAATTTCGTATAATATCTTTTTATTTAATTTTATACTTTTACGGTGGGTGATTATTACCCAATTACGTCCGATTCGACCAACTTGATCTGAATTGGCAGTTGAAATATTCACGCGACATTATTTGTTCTTGTTAAATTATTTAAATTTTGACTTGATTTTTATTAATCGACTTAGCAAACATGTATCTTTTCTATTATTCACGTTTGAAAATTTTAAATATAAATCATTTGATCGCAACCTGGTATTTGACGTTATTATGCAGTCGATTACCGCATCTATTATACATCGTTTCATTGATGATCGTATTGACCATTTGTTTCACCGATTTCTACATAATCTATATTTCTTTACTTATATTTACTTACATTGTGTTTGTAATATAAATGATATTGTATTATAGGATTAAGAAAAATGCGATTTTCTTAATCGGTTTTTTCAACTTTTGTATATTTGATGCGTTTGTGAATTTTGCTGCATCGGAATAAATAATCTTGTCTCGTCGATACGGTCATCGTCCTAGAGCGGCGGTTTCAGTCACTCTTGGAGCGAATTTGGGAGCGTTGGCAATAAAAAAAAAAACAAAAAAAAACAAAAAAAAAAAATAACACGGATTTGTTCCGAATCTCGCGTCTATCGATCAAATCTGCTTAGCATGAATGCTTGCTCACACAATGGATTCGTCATAGCTTGTCGTTGGATTCGGTCAGAGAGAGAGAAAAAGAGAGAGAGAAAAAAGACACACACACATACACACACAGACATATGTATTTAGAAGATCTCAGATATTACCGCCACAAGTTTCCACAAAATGATTTGTGATCCAATTGAGAAAGCCAAAGTATGATACCACTAAGTAGTGAATATATATTATGATTTCGAGCTATACAGCGTAGTAGTGGTGATCTGAAAATCCACTTGTCCGGCCGGTCGATCGGCACATGCCATGAAACGTCATCCTAATAAATGCTCGTATAATCATTTGGATCGAAATATTGTTTTTGAAACAGAATGGGAAATTACGAAATCAATATTGGAACATTACATTCTCGTATCATTGTTCTGTTCTATCATTGTTGATTCGCGACAGCTTTAATTATTTCTAAATATTTTGCCGTGCATAGTATCGCGCATAATAATTATTAGCGTTATGCGATTATGTCGTTGATAATTCAATTTAATAAAAAATTTATTTGATCTTTATCAGACTACTAAACCGTCGTATCATCGGATTCAAATTTCTGCCGCAAGTAAAGAGAATTATAAAAAAGATCAATGCAGCTTAGTGAAAATTAAATTTTTTACATTGAATGAAAAAGTTTACGTTAAATTTCAAATCGAATAAAATAAATGTTGGAGTATTACTTTTTTTTCTCGTTTTCTTAAATTTTGTAATATTTTCCAAAAACAGTTTCTTCAACGGGAAAAATCAAAACTAAGAATTTTTTTCTATGACAGCCGGAGTTTTTCATCGAGGCGAAAAAATTTCGAAATCCATGCTGTACAAATGTTTTAACAAAGCATTATCAGGATAACGTGTCGTGTCTCACCTTCTCTTCTCTTTCCTATCTTCTCTTTCTGTGCGCTTTTCAACGACCGATGACCGACACGGAGCCCGACTTCCTTGAGTCCGATTTGCTACCCGAAAAAAAAAAAAATAAACTCTACGAGATATGTGATAAAATAGAGACTTATTTATATCACATAAAAAATCTTTGGATATATTTCTTACGGCTTGAATTGATCTTTTTTTTTTCTTATTCCTCTTTCCTCTTCGATCGATCTTTCTTTTATTGACCGTCAACTTCGAGAGACGTGGCTGAAGGGGTAGGCTGATCGGCCTGAGAAAAATAATAAACAATATGACAAAATCACAACGAACAGAGACATGCATGCGTGGCACGAAAAGAGGTATATATATATAGATTACCTAGGTATATTATTACTATTGCGCTTTATATCTACTTTCACGATACCCTCATCTTTTAATTTCTCAATTTCTCAATCTGCTTGAAAAAAACTCTACGGCTTATAGTACATAATTACTACTTCGCTTCTGTTCCTAGAACACTGTCTCTGATTTTGTGTTTCTGTTTTTCTCTATACACAGTCTTACAAGAAAAATCGTTCCTTACTTTCCTTCTTTTAAATTATAACTTTTCCTTCCCGACGACAACCGAACTTTCTTTGAAAAAAGAAAAAGATTATCTAAAGTCGAGAAAAAAATGCTATTCACGGTCATGTGTTCATGATTTTACTTAATTTCATTTATAATTTTTTTAATGTAATTTTCTTGAACACACGCATTTGTTTCTCGCTTCTAATAATATTCAAAAATTATAAAATTGTTACTTTTCTGATGATATATAGATAAAAAAATATATTTGCATAGAGTTTTTCTTATATAATTTTGTAAGCCTGTGTGTTTAAAAACCTTTTACTTCGTGAGAACTAAAAGTGAGATTAGATTTCTTTTTTTGTGCATACGTCAACATAAACGTATACATTTAATTTTGCTCTTGTCAGATTGTTATGCTACGTTTTTGTTCGTTTTTCCTTTTTATCCTCAGTTATTCACCATTTTTCCTTGGCATCCTTTAGAACAGCATGGCTTCCGGCACTCTTTTAGCTAAGAGTCAGCGACGAGATCGTGTAAGGGTGGGCTGCCCTGTACATTACGTTTCCACTATTTAAGCCACAGTAGAGATCACATGAAAACAAAAAAGGTTCTCCACGAGAAGAATATTTATAAATTCTTAAATCGCAAATCCTACATACAAATCCTATATACACACACATACATATCACACGCTTCTAACTTTCAGATAATTGATTATAATTTTAGACTGTTTATATTTCTTCTTTTCTAGAAGTTTTAGAGCTCTTGAAAAAAATACATATATGACTGTGTAACTCACGCAAGATATATATATTTAAACTTTTATATATATGTAAATGTATTAATTAATTTCAAGAAAACGAAGAGAGAATGAAAATTTCACAACAAAATTTAAGATTTTTGTATACTTATTATATAACACAAGCATATGTATATAAATTTTATATACATATATATATATATATATATATATCTTGTAATAAAACAAAATATCAAAATGAATATTATACGCATATATGTATACATGTGTGTATATATATGTATATATATTACAGCTGCTTGAAATATGTATATATATATATATATATATGTATATTTATATTATACATTAACATATATGTATATGTATATTAAAATCAAAGCTTAGTTTTCATACAGTGAAATACGCTGTATTAGGAATTTTGCACATAAGTTAGTTTAGATTATAACATTGATATAGAAAATGATGTACATGTACAAGAACACGATATACCTAAATACCTTTTCCTTCTGCTTCTTTTCTTTTTTATATTATTTTTTTTAAATCAAAGATAAAAATATCATCAGTAGTAATTAGCAGATATTGTTTCATTGCGCATTTATTAAGTTTTTCCAAAATATTATTTTTTTTTGTTCATGAAATAATTATTGCAGCAAGATGAAATAAGTTAAGACCATTCTGGTGTTTAAGACGTGTTTCAGAATATTTAATCTCGTCAATTTTTGACGGACAGTACATACAACGAAAATTTTTGCTAGTTTTAACACGATTTAAAGATTATATTTATATAATGAGAGTGCAAGGATATAATTGTCTCAACCTCGTTCGCTCTCTCTTTTTGTAATTTTAAGCGTCTTTTTCCCTTCCTTATTTTCTGTGTAATTTCTGCCACGATTTTCGAAGTAACGTGATTCAGGGAACTCACTAGTTTTTTTTATCAATCGCCGTTTTTTTATGTTATGTAAATTGACATTTTCATGATAAATTATATAAAATTATTGTTTGTTTGAAGCTCTCCTAGAAGAATTCTATTTCATTTATTATGATACGTTGATGTTATGAAAAACGAAAGTTTAATTGAACTATAAAAAAAGTAGCTTAATAACTACTTTTACAGATAATCATTACTTGTTACTGGAATCTTTGATATTTTTTAATTTGGTGTGATTTCATTCCATTTGAAACGATAAATTTCTTGTGGAATAATGGCAGCGGAAAGTTATTGGAAGAAAGACAGAAACTTGTACTCTAACAATCTAACAGATCATTTCAGTAACTACAAATGAAACGATCATCCTTAAAACTTTGTGTACCTGCCACGTTGAAATTTTTTGCTCCAAGCCAAAACAATTGGTAGCGATATTGTTCGAATGGTTATCGTAGAGTCTCTCAGCCGTCTGACCGGTCCTAGGAAGTCGGGAAGATCCCTTTCAATTATGTCCGTCGCAAAGGACACAAGACGACAACATCGAGAAATTTCACGCCGCCAACAAATAAACGACGGAACAAGTCTGGGATTGGTCGACGTATCGTCAACTGCGTGCGGAAGATGTCCTTTTCCCTTTCCTTTTCCACACATAGAACTGAATAAGACTTTCTCGAATGAGCCTGTCTTTGAGCTAAGAAGTTTTGCTCGAAATTGAGCGTGACGCGCAAAAAAGCAGACATGTTCAAAAAAATACACATACGTACACGCACACTTTTCGGTGTCATCGTAAATCCTCTCTTCTCGAGCACACTTCGTGCAATTTTTTACGCGCGATCCGTAGTTTTGAACAATATGTCTTTACATCGTTGTTGCAGATGGGCAAACTGGGTAGTAATCCTTTGGCTGGTCTCGCAGCCTTAGGCCTTGGAGGTCTCGCCACACCAGCGAATACGGGTGGTCTTAATCCAGCAGGTAAGTGAACAATTATATTATATCAATTAATTGTCCTTTTGCCAAACAATCTGTTGTTCTTGTCCTTAATCATAACAAGATTTGAATGAGTTATATTTCAGATTTTAATAATATTCTGTATTTATATTATTATACGACCTATGTGTATATTAAAGCTCGAGAAAGAGATTTGACACTTTTCTAATATTTGCGCAATATCAATGATCATAGCATTAGCCGCATTGGCCGGAAGCCAGCTGCGTACGAGTAACACTAACAGACAACAACCAGCGGCGAACAATCAGACACACGAGATGACTGTGCCAAATGAACTGATCGGTTGCATCATTGGGAAAGGCGGTACCAAGATCGCCGAGATCCGTCAGATCTCCGGCGCCATGATCAGAATCAGCAACTGCGAGGAAAGGGAAGGCGGAGCAACGGACCGCACGATCACTATAACTGGGAATCCAGACGCCGTGGCGTTGGCACAATATCTCATCAATATGAGGTAAGTAAACCACGTGGCCTGCACGTCGTTTCTTCGTACTGGTCAAATAACCAAAGGCCGACCTTCGGATCGACGGAGAAGTTTATTCTGTGAAGTTCGTCCAAGATTCGGTCTTTCGGTGTCACTAGTTTCATTTTCCACTAGAAAGCAGTCAGAAACTCGTCCCGGCTACGTTTTACGGTGAATCGCGATTGGCATTTCCTTTGGTTTCTTTTTTTTTATTTTTTTTTTTTTTTATTTCTTTGTCTCCCACCCTCGCATCTCTGCCGACACCGCTTATCGAATAATGTGTGTCGTCGGCGTAGAAAAAACTTCTTGTCAACTTTTCTTCTCCAACCCCAAATATATACAAAACTCGCCGATTCGCCTGTTTGTGTTATTCGTCTCTCACATAATCTGTGCTGTCACTTTAACTTTGTGTTTTAATGATAAGACTGCAAGGGATAGTCGAATCGGCATCTTCCGCAGAGCATCTCCCATCATCATATCGTTTACCATCCCCGCTCAAGGCAACTCGCGTATAGATGACTTATCCATTTGTTTTGTACAAGTAGGTTTGTGTACTGAATAAACTCGTATATACAATTTGTAAACTTTACAAGATTGTTAACGATAGAGAAGAGATTATTCTGTGTGAATTGGAAAATAATAGCTGATGTTACAAGAAAAGTCGTCTTTACTGCGTGTCGCCGCGAGATATATTATAGAAGAGGTGGTGTGTGTTACGAGAGAAAAATGTCGGATACCGCGCGCGCATAAATCTGTTGTGAGATAAATAGAGAATGATTTATTTACGATTGTTTAAAAATTTCTTGAATGAGAAAAATAGCAGATCGTCACGTAACACCATCTCAGTTTTATAAACGTAACAGGTTGTACGTAGTATTAAGGTAACGACACGAGGAAAAGATGTCACAACGGCCGAGGCACAACCAACGTTTGCATACGCAGATACTGGGAAGAACAGTCGTCATCGTCCGCAACGGACGGAAGAGGATCTTAATCCTTTATTTCCAGGTCCTGTTTTCCAGGTCCAGTAACCCTGAGTATCCTGAAGACACAACTCCGCTCAACATCTGTTTTCCTATTATCGCTGGCTGTCCTTTTAAGCAAAAATGAACTACCGACTGAAAGACATAATAATAAAAAAAACAAAAAAAAAAAAAAAGATGCACGAAGGACTGTCGCTCCGTTTAGTGACAATTAATCCCGAACAGTCCCAGACAAACGTATCACAATTCTTCCTTTCGATTCGGTTTTTAATGAATCGTTTTCTTTCTAATCCGATAGGCTCCCGGTAATGGACGATTAGCTTCTTACATTCACGCTTAATACTTACTCGTTTTATTGTTCATACATATAAATATCCGTAGAGTCACAAGAGAACATCTTTCTAATGTATAACAAATGTACATTACATAAACCGATGTATTTATTTGCGTGGTATAAAGAGTTTTTTCTTCGTCCTTACTAGGAACCTTCCATAGCATCTTTACATTTTAGTTATACGCTTCATCGCTGTTGTTACCATCGCTTTAATGTTCATTGGTCGGTGTTCAAAATCTGTTACTTTTTTTTCTTTTTTTTTTTTTTTNTTTTTTTTTTTTTTTTTTTTTTTTCTTTTTTTTTTTTCTTTTTTTTTGTTTTAATTACGCTATGGGACTAATCTACTTGCATCATAGCAATATTATAATGGTGAACGGTACTAACGGTAGTCGTCGATGAGAGTCGAGGACGACAAAATAAAAGTCAGCACGAGCTCGCGATATGTTGTAAGACTTCTTACCAGCCGAGTACAATTCGAATACGTGGGTCGTCACCTTTATCTCTCTCCACACACTTTTGCATTATAATTATAATCCATTTATATTTTATTCCAGATATCATTCACATTTTACTACTGCATATAAATAGCGAATTGTATTTTATATATTTATATTATCATTCATTATTTCTGTATTTTACCCTTTGCCATTGTTTATTACATGACGTATTATCCCAGCACTGCTGTTGGCCAAAATACATTCTGCCACATTTGTCTAATTCCGATCTCACTCTCTTATTCGGATTACGTGACGTACGAGGCAATTATCGACTGTTTACAACCGCGATTAATAGATATAAAATGTCTCTCTCTGTAAGATATAAATCGTAATCTCATTGTGATAATAACATTATGACGCGCGCGACACCGCGGTTCGCGACGTGGCAGAGTGCATGTGTTGTGCCTGGTTTACTTTGATTTCTGCCTTTTCTATAAGCCACGAAAGCTGTTTACTCGTTTTAACTGACATACCATGGAAATTGTTCTAGTCGTAACATAAGCTATGCATGATAAATTCATTGAAATGAAAAAAATGTCCTCTAATGATGATTTTTTGCCTGTATAACGAGCACGTTACATCTAGAAACAATCGCACCGTTCGCGAGTCTACTTGTTTATACTGGTAAACGTGATCTTTGTTTTGTGCAAAATGTTTATGTATGTATTTCAAAAGTAGACTCAGCGAACGTGTCGTTTTATCTTCATGGTGCATCTTCGCGTTTTTTTTCGCGATAAGACGCATTTTGACCGGTTCCAAATGTTCTCCTATTCCATATATGACTCTCTCTCTCTGATTATTGACCGATGCCCGTTATCACGCGCGCATGTCAGTCAAAACTCTTAACCTGTCCAAATATGAAACACGAACATTCGGTCCAAATGCGGCCTGACGCAAAAAAGATTTCCCCACGTAGCCGGTGTACGTGATAATCACGCTCCACAGAGCACTTCTTTAGCGTAACACTCTTTACCTTATGATATACCTATTTAGTTTATCTTTTTTTTTTTGTTTTATTTTTGTTTATACCATTTTATTTGACAATTCTCCGCGGCAGCTACTACTACCAGCTACTACTATTCTACTACTACCAGCTACTACTATTTTCTACCACTATTACTACTATTCTTCTATTCTATATATTGTTACTCTACTTTCACTATATTCTACTACTATTACTACTACTGTTTCTTACTATATACACTACTACTACTACTACTATTACTACTACTACTACTATTACTACTACTACTACTACTACTACTACTACTACTACTACTACTACTACTACTACTACTACTACTACTACTACTTCNTACTACTACTACTACTACTACTACTACTACTACTACTACTACTACTACTACTACTACTACTACTACTACTACTACTTCTACTTCTACTACAAAAACTACTGCCACTACTATCACTACTATTATAACTATTTTATTTTTCATCATTTTGTTTTTTTCTTTTTTTTTAAATCTCTGACACTGTGTGTTTTACTAGAAACGTTCCCGCCCTCACCTTTTTACATTTTGTGTCTTTTCCCCAGTGTCGAACTGCAGAAAGCTAACCTAGAGGCCCAAAATACCCAAACCCCTGGCAGCGGTACCACTCCCGGAGCATCCGGGGCCAGTGCTTCCCCCTCTACCACCACTACCACTGCCTCTCCCTTGGCCAGCGCCATCCCCTTGGCTCAGCTGCTAAGCAAGCCAGGCGCCCTCAACGCCCTATCTAGCCTCACCGCCCTCGGCGGACTCACGGAATTGCTAGGTGGCGCTGCTGGCGCGGCTGCATCCGCGCTACCGGTCCAGACTACCGGCGTACACCGGTCACACAAGACTTTTACACCGAGATTACGTAGTCCAGGCGCACCAGGTCCGACTGACAGCGGCAAGTTCAAGTCGGAACGTACTAAATACAATCCGTACTGAACGCACGGACGAACGATGGAATGCTATCGGAGAAATGCTACATACACGTACACACATCTTCTAGGAGAGACACTTGTGTAACACTCAAAGTAAAATGCGTACGGACGCCAGGGTAGCGAGTACGGATCAAGACTTGGCGAAGGATTACAAATTTTTATTTTGATTATGTAATTGTACTATTATATATATTTAAGTAGGATAGGGACAGTAAATATATAATTGTTTAAAAATAGATAAGCTGGAAATTTTGAAAAAAAAAAAAAATTCTAGAAAGAAATAGCTTAAAATTAAACTTGACGATTAATTTTTGCAAAACTTTTTTGAAAGTAAAGTACTTTTCGAAGGAAGATTATATCTTGTTTGTATATTTTTATTTATATATTTGTTTTTGAAGACTATTGTGCAAAACTATTTTCTAGAATTTTTTGTCAGTTCTCTATTTTCTTTGATAAGGAAAAATAAAAAGTAAATTTGGTGAAAACGTTTGGAGAGTATTTTGTGTTGCGTTAAATCGATTACTCTGATATGATCCGATGCTAAGTCTTAGAATTCACACATAACAATATCGTGGCACGTCCTCCGAGAGTAGGATAATCGAAGTTATATATATACTCTATATATATATATATACACACAAATATATATATATATTTATATATATATACATAGTATGAAGACTGTGAGAGCAAAGCGGTGAAAAACATTAATTGTTAACAATGTGATTCCTTATTCATCAATTTGATTCGGTATTAACGTTTTGTTCTGTATACAATCATGTTGCAGGCTCGGAGGACGCGATCGCTCATGCACCGTCGCAAGACACAATCTCTTTTTTATAAAAATATATAATTATTATAATTATTGTAAAATCACACATTACATAATATTGATATTATTATTATTATTTTATTATTATTATTCTTACTACTACTACTGTTTTGAAGCAAAAACTTTTAGTGTAACTGTTTCAATGTGATTTTTTCCTTGTGACAGTAGACAATAGAAATATAGGATTCCACTGATAGAGGAAAAAGTTTCGCGCGTGCGTGAATGAGTATGTGAGATAATAAAAACTTAGACAAAATGAAGGGAGCTATGTTAAAGAAATCGTCTCTTGAAAAAAAAAATCATGTTTATTATTCTTTACTGAATCGTGTTGCACTATGTCGTAATCATGTAATGTGCTTTGATGACTTGTATGATCTTTTTTCTTACAAAAAAAAGCAAACCGGTTTGCACAATTGTGTAATCGATCGGAAAGTTTATTTACAACACGAGAGAGAAAGAGAGAGCGAGAGAGAGAGGGAGAGAGAGAGAGAGAGAGAGAGAGAGAGAAAAAGAAGGGCGGAAGAGGAGTTAAACTCTGAAGGTTTAACTTTGCGAAACATTATATAACCAATCATCGCTATACGAAGTAAACAATCAAGCTATACATACATAGTCGTATTATTGTAACGATAATTATATTTAATCTTTATGCATCTCTATACGCGAAACAACCGATCTGCATGAGTTCGCGTGTACAAATTATGTTTTTGTGAAATCAAACTAATAAAAACAATACATACAGAAGACGTAATTAGATTTCTAATTTCACGTTTCTTTTAATACTTTGTTCCGTAGCAGAGAAACAATAGCTTTTTTCTAAGATAATTGGAGAAATGAAATTTCTAGTACGTATGCCAGAAATTTCTAGTGTTGTACGCCATATCTCTTTATATGATATACACATTTGAGTGTTTTATTGTTAAATTATAAACGAACAGGAAAACAAAAAAATAAAATTATTACCTTAAAATTGTTATAACTGAAATGAATTGTTATTCAGAGTTTGATGTACGTTTAAGAATTGCAAGAATGTTTTATTGATCAAGGACTTTCTGCGTACAAAGATATATATTTTAGATATATATTTTGTTTAACAATAACAACAATATGAGCTAGCTTTCTCATATTAACGCGATTCTCTGCTATTAATAATAGTTCCGTAATTTCAACTTGATGTTTATAAAATGTTTTCCTCAATATTTTTTTATTAACGCTAGCACATTTAACATATTATTGTCATGCTGATAGCATCGCGTACATATCACTTTTTATTGTATTCTTAGAACATTCAGCATTATATACATTTTTGTAGTCTCATGTCAATTGACAACAAATACGTTATTATTGTTATTAATGCTTAATGTATACAGAAGAATACAAATTGTTATGTACGTGCGATTCATCGTACACACACACACACATACACACACATAATATGTACGTAAGTGTAAGCGTAACCAAGATAGGAGAGAGAAAAAAAAGATGTAAAAAAGGAAGAGAGAGATAGAGAGAGAGAGAGAGAGAGAAAAGAGCGAAAGAGAAGATATATCCATCCAACCAACTGATCCAGGCTCCTGCCCGTTTTTGGTAAGCACCATCCGTTCCTTTGTAGTCCTGTTAATTGACTTATCCTATTCGACCGTTGGTTGCGAAGTTTTTTCTTTCACTTCGTTTTTTAAGTTTTACTTTTTTTTTTTACATTTAATCGCTGTGCGATCTGTTGTTTTTTTTATACCAGATATACGACTAACCATCCTAAAGAGAAACCTTTGTTTCGAGAGAAATTACGTAAAAAAATTTCTAAAATTGTAATATAATTGCCTTCGAAGTTGTAATTTTCTATCCTTACAGTAATAGCTTTATTTTGCAGGTTTAAAACAGAGTTGAATATCTATATAATGTAGCTCTCCGCTAATGGTTCGTACAAAGTTTATGTAGATCGGGCATGCAATTGAAACGCGAACTTTGTCTATGTACAAATACGTTTCAAGAGAATTCTCACTAGAGACTCGTGTTATAATTTTGTACTTCCGCGTCGCATGTTGCTATGTAATGTTTTATTCTCAGGATGAAAGGATCAGTCGTGATGCGCGTTGATCCTTTCCTCCAACGTTAATAATCGCATATCGCAAGATCTTTTATCAATATTATTTTCCATAAGTACGAGGGAAGTTCGTGAGACATAAAAATTTTATATTTCGGCAATGTATTAAACCGCGGATGTATATTGAAAACGATTTTTGATTGTATGTCTGTTACACGCTGATAGCGCGCTGACACTTTCCCTGTATTTATCGGTAAACATGATATCAACTCTAAATGAACGTTAATCTTTGTTCTAACAGACAAACCGAATGTGTTTCAGGATATCAATGGAGACATCGGGAGTGCCGGGAATTCCCGCGTATCATTTCATCCCACCAGACCACATTGTGAAATCGCCCATCCACTAAACGTGGAGTGTTAACGTGGTCGTTATCGTTGTCGAAAGAACGTGGGGCATCGCAGAGTGCGTGAAGTTATCAGTGGCATCTGGAGCTGGGCCACACTGTGTTCAACCAGCTTGCAAATTGATACACTTGCAAAAAAGAAACAAGATATATGATAGTGAGAAAGAAAAAGAGAGAGAGAAAGAAAGAGCGAGCGAGAGAGAGAGAAAGAGAGAGAGAGAGAGAAGGAGAGTATGTATGTGTGTGTGTATGTGTGAGAGGGAGAGAGAGAGAGAGAGAAAGAAAGAAAGAAAGAAACACATACACACAAGTATGTATTCACGTAGCACATTCGCACGTACTCGGTAAAAAGGAGTCTACTTGTGCGCGCTTTAAATAAGACACATGTGTACATCACAATTGAACACACATACTAAACACACGTTTGCAGACACACGTACAAAAAAAAAAAAAAATGCGATACATACATTGCATATATATACACGACGAACGGGATCACATACATAGAAACAAAAAAAAAACAAAAAAAAACAAAAAAAAAAACAAAAAAAAGATAAAGATACAGACGCGCGTACACAGGCACACTCGAGTGTACAAAACTGTACAAAAGTTATTTAAACAAAAGAAAAAAATAACGATGCACGCCGCAGCAAGCAAGCTGCCGCCGATTGGTAAAGGGAACAAGCCAAAGATATGTTAGTTTTCATTTTTATATTTAAACGAAAAAAACTGACGTGAGAGACGGGAGAGAGAAATACGAGAGAATTTATTATCATTGATTATTACTACGTACGCAATGATGCTAAATAATATTAGATCGGTTGTTAGCGTTTTTCTAATTACGAATACACGTTTGTCGAGTCGACGGTTTTTCGCGACCGTTTTGCGAACTTAGTTTACTTCACCCAAAAAAGAAAACAAAAAGAGAAGAAAATCGTGCAACGGAAGTGCGGTGTTGCGAGATTATCTTCTAGATAGATAGATGAAGAGTTCAAAGCAAATACTATTGTGTGTGTGTGTGTTTATATGTATATATAACGTGTATATATGTACATATTTTCACATATAAATTTCTTGGTTTTGCTTCAGACTCTTTTGCTAATTTATCCTTGAGATCCACATATTTTTATTTCTCTTTGAGACACTAAAATATCTTCTTTAAAACACTGAATCATTTTTACATTATGAACTTTTATAAATAAAATAATCTCTCGTGTTCTATCAGCGCATTCGCGGCCAATTTCGAGCTGTGAGGTTGGGAAAGCGCACCCGCCAGAGAATTAACCAAGATCGCGAGTCGCGACATCCTCGTGATCGCTGTCGCGCACGAAATATCGAGGAAAAAGTAAAAACGATTTAATCACGCGCAGTAATTACGTAGTTGCGTAGCTTTTGCATGCGAATCTTGGATTCCAAAACAAAATAAAAAAAATTGTCGACAAAATTTTTCTTTTTGAAAGAAAAAAACAAGTGACTGCGGACGTTTCGTGCCGTCGTTTGTTCAGCGCTTATCGATCCTTTGGAAATGCAATGAGACGAACCGGCACGCGTTCTAGTGCGTTCCCAACATTTATTTTCCACGTACACGTGGCGTCCTCGACATTGCTGTGTAGTTTAATTAATTATATATATAAACGTAGTTTATTAAATATACAGGTGTCGAGCACGATCAAATGTGTCGCGGAAGCAATTGCTGGACGCACATTTCTGTTAAAGGAACAAATGAAATTATTACGTGGAATATATATAAATAATGATATATATTATATATATATATATATATACAACATAATATATATATATATTTATTATACGATAAAGACAATTAGAAAAGATAAATAGCGATGAAAAAAAAGATGCGAACTCAAGCCCAGACTTGATCAAGAGGTGTCCTTTCCTTTCATCATCCACTTTCTAAATACAGATTTATTTTCTTTTTCTCTGATTTTAACCTTTCGCACTCTCAATTTGAACTCACGAATCACAAGAACCGCTCCCATAACGAGTATATAATTTTATTTGTTTTATCCCGACGACACGCGTCAATATGTTCTTTTTTCGTATCTATGTTTTTCTTCGTTACTATATCGTCTCCTTATTCTCGCGTGTAATTTATATAGTCGTTATATATAAACGCGTTGATATTTAATAAAATTATTAATATATATATGTACGGAAGTAAAAAATGCGCGCGCGCGGCATTGTGCAACGTCTTTCTGAGATTATTTTGTTTTAGCAAACGTTTTGTTAAAATATCGATCTTGTATATATAATTGCAAATAATTATTGTGTTTTTTGCAATTTGTGTTGGATATGTTTTATTACATTGGAAATATCTGTCGTATATTTTCTTAAGTTTTTCGAATCGGTTTATTAGAAGAAAAAGTATAAATTAAAAAACTTACGAAGAATTGCTAGTAATATATCGTAGCTGTGTAATAAGTTTGAATTTGTTGTAAATCTAGTTGATGCCAAGCCAATATAATTGGTTGATAGGTAGCGCGTAACAGTTTACATCTTGCGATATTATCCCAAGTAACTTCCAATTACGTGCCAAACATAAATTAAAAATGAAAAAAAAAAAAAAAAAAGATATTTGTTAGAGAACATTAGTCTGTGTGCTTCCGACATCAGCTCAATTAATTGATTATTATTGATGATATATTCACGCATTATATCATCACTTTTATACATTTTTATAATTAAGGTGTTTAGCTCGCCTACAAAAATTGTTCTTAATTTTAATGCGTCAAAAGAACATTTTAATGTTTTACTTTTTATATTTATATAATATTTATGAAGAGAGAATATCATACAAGTCGCTTTCGTGGTATTGTTTTATTTTTTATTGGAGATATATATATATATTTCGCGATGTACTCGCTTCTTTTCATACTTATATGTTGTAAATACGATTATGTTGTACATATTTATTACGCGTTCGGAGCATATGTTTATATACAATAAACTTTTAGTCAAAAAAAAAAAAAAAGATTTCTTAATACTTCATATGTAACAACATCTGCAATGTCACTTTATTTATTTTCATCTATGTGGCCCTTCATTTTTCAATCACGATGATTTTTTATTATTATTTTTTTTTTCGTTTGAATGAATGAGTTGCGCAAATGAGTTATTTTCTCTCCATGAAAAGCCGTATTATATTCACGCAAAGAAAAGAAGCGATTTTATATAATCTACGGATCCAATGCGTTTCAATTTTTTGGATCGATGTACACGAGCTTTAGAAACGTAATCAGTAATTATTTATATGCATTGTGGAAAACAGAATGATT